GAAGATATAATGAAAAACTTCATGTCAAAAAATTAGACATTTTAGTTGAATTGGACAAATTCCTCAAACAACACAACTCACAAAGACTGACTCAGAAGAGACAGAAACCAGAATAGTCTTACATCTAGTAAGGAAATTAAATGTGTAATCAAAATCAATTAATCAAATAAACAAATCTTTCCACAAGGAAAACTTCAGAACCAAATGGTTTCACTGGTGAATTAAAACCAGAGTTACACAAAGTCATAAATTGAAGAGGAAAGAAAAGTTTCCAATTCATTTTTTAAAGTCAGTATAACACTGATACCAAAACTTGACGAAGACATGACAAGAGGCAAACATTCTCAACAAAATATTAGCAAAAAGAATACAGAAGTATTTTTTTCTTTTTTTTTAAATTTTTTTTTAAATTTATTTATTTGTGATAGTCACAGAGAGAGAGAGAGAGGCAGAGACACAGGCAGAGGGAGAAGCAGGCTCCATGCACCGGGAGCCCGACGTGGGATTCAATCCCGGGTCTCCAGGATCGCGCCCTGAGCCAAAGGCAGGCGCCAAACCGCTGCGCCACCCAGGGATCCCTTAATACAGAAGTATTTTTAAAAGATAATACATCACCACCACATGGGATTTATTTGAAGGATGCAAGATTAATTAAACATTTAAAAATCAATGTAACTTGGCAGATTAACATACCAAATACTAGAATAAAGGAAAAAATCATAGGATAATCTCAACAGGTACAGGAAAAGTCATTTGGGAAAAAATACATTCTCGTAGAGAATAATGAAATTCCTTAGCAAACAGGGATAGGACTCTTCATTCTTGTAAAGGACCTGCCTCTACAACACTCTACAACACACAAAATGGTGTAAGGGAGGAAAATAATTTTCCCTCTGTTGTTCTGAGTTCTTGTCTGAGACACCTGTAATAAAAGACACATTACCAAGAGAAAAACAACAGAAGTTTATTAACATGTATACATGGGAGATACTTAAGGAAAAATGAGCAGCTCTCTGTCTCAGAATTTAGATTTATATACCATCTACCATCTTAATAAGCAAAAAGGAGGAGGGATATAGGCTTATTAAAGGGATGTAAATGATTTTTAGGAAAGGTGGATGGGCCTACAGAAGAACAGACAGTAGGTATGACAGTTTTGGGGTGGTGTTGACCTCTAGTCTCCTCTACTCTTACAAGACTCCATCGTTCCTGGATGAAGAAACTCTCCAAGGAAGGCATTTATGTCACTTGTGTTCCTTTTAGAGGACTTGTCTTTAGGCATATAAGAGGAGTTCAGAAAAAAGCATCTCCTTGCATGTGCTGTTTTTCAAGTGTCTACAGCTCAAAAGACTCATATATCAAAGTGGCATATTCTGCTACCCTTCAAAACCCTCTCCTCAGAAGATCAGGAACAGGGCAAATATGCTGGAGAACACTCCTCTTCAAATTGTACTGGATATCTTAACACAATACGGCAAGGAAAATAAATGAAAGGTATTAAGATTAGAAAACAGAATAAAGCTATGATTATTCACCAATGACATAATGTACATAAGGAGTCTACAAACCAATCAATAGAAATAAGTGAACCTTACATCATACATTGCATAATGAGGTCAACCTATAAAAAGTTTATTGTATCTCTACGTAATGGGTATAAGTAATTACAATAAAATTTTAAAATAATACAATTTATACGTTTATAAAGAATTTCACCTAGGAATAACTTTAACAAAAGAAGTGTAAGATCTATATAGTAAAACCACAAAGAACTCTGTGCAGAAAGAATTTTTTTTTTTTTAGGTTCTGAAGAAATGGGCATATATAACATATTCAGGGATTGGAAGACAATATTTTTAATACGTCCCTTTTCCCGAATCTACAGGTTCAACACAAACTTAATCCCAGCAGCTTCTCTCTAGGTATTGGCAAGCTCATTCTAAAGTTTGTATGGAGATGCCAAGGTCCTAGATCACCTAAACCAATCTTGAAAACTAACTCTGATCCCAAGACTCATTAAAATCTACATATTTGAGTCAGAATGGTACTGGAGTAAAAACAAAGTTCAGAAATAGAGTCACATATTCAAAAATAATTAATTTTCTGGTGTTTCATTGCGTCTGTATCTTTGGGGTAAATCCCCAACAGTGCAATTGCTGGGTGGTAGGGCAGGTCTATTTTTAACTCTTTGAGGAACCTCCACAGTTTTCCAGAGTGGCTGCACCAGTTCACATTCCCACCAACAGTGCAAGAGGATTCCCCTTTCTCCACATCCTCTCCGACATTTGTGGTTTCCTGCCTTGTTAATTTTCCCCATTCTCACTGGGGTGAGGTGGTATCTCATTGTGGTTTGGATTTGTACTTCCCTGATGGCAAGTGATGCAGAGCATTTTCTCATGTGCATGTTGGCCATGTCTACGTCTTCCTCTGTGAGATTTCTCTTCATGTCTTTTGCCCATTTCAGGATTGGATTGTTTGTTTCTTTGCTGTTGAGTTTAAGAAGTTCTTTATAGATCTTGGAAACTAGCCCTTTATCTGATACGTCATTTGCAAATATCTTCTCCCATTCTGTAGGTTGTCTTTGAGTTTTGTTGACTGTATCCTTTGCTGTGCAAAAGCTTCTTATCTTGATGAAGTCCCAATAGTTCATTTTTGCTTTTGTTTCTTTTGCCTTCGTGGATGTATCTTGCAAGAAGTTACGGTGGCTGAGTTCAAAAAGGGTGTTGCCTGTGTTCTCCTCTAGGATTTTGATGGAATCTTGTCTCACATTTAGATCTTTCACCCATTTTGAGTTTATCTTTGTGTATGGTGCAAGAGAGTGGTCTAGTTTCATTCTTCTGCATGTGTATGTCCAATTTTCCCAGCACCATTTATTGAAGAGACTGTCTTTCTTCCAGTGGATCGTCTTTCCTCCTTTATCGAATATTAGTTGACCATAAAGTTGAGGGTCCACTTCTGGGTTCTCTATTCTGTTCCATTGATCTATGTGTCTGTTTTTGTGCCAGTACCACACTGTCTTGATGACCACAGCTTTGTAGTACAACCTGAAATCTGGCATTGTGATGCCCCCAGATATGGTTTTCTTTTTTAAAATTCCCCTGGCTACTTGGGGTCTTTTCTGATTCCACACAAATCTTAAAATAATTTGTTCTAAGTCTCTGAAGAAAGTCCATGGCATTTTGATAGGGATTGCATTAAGCGTGTAAATTACCCTGGGTAACATTGACATTTTCACAATATTAATTCTGCCAATCCATGAGCATGGAATATTTTTTCATCTCTTGTGTCTTCCTCAATTTCTTTCAGAAGTGTTCTATAGTTTTTAGGGTAGAGATCCTTTACCTCTTTGGTTAGGTTTATTCCTAGGTATCTTATGCTTTTGGGTGCAATTGTAAATGAGACTGACTCCTTAATTTCTCTTTCTTCAGTCTCATTGTTAGTGTATAGAAATGCCATTGATTTCTGGGCATTGATTTTGTATCCTGCCACGCTACCAAATTGCTGTATGAGTTCTAGCAATCTTGGGGTGGAGGCTTTTGGGTTTTCTACGTAGAGTATCATGCTATCAGCGAAGAGGGAGAGTTTGACTGCTTCTTTGCCAATTTGAATGCCTTTAATGTCTTTTTGTTGTCTGATTGCTGAGGCTAGGACTTCCAGGACTATGTTGAATAGCAGTGGTGAGAGTGGACATCCCTGTCTTGTTCGGAAAGGCTCCCAGTGCTTCCCCATTGAGAATGATATTTGCTGTGGGCTTTTTGTAGATGGCTTTTAAGATGTCGAGGAAAGTTCCCTCTATCCCTACACTCTGAAGAGTTTTGATCAGGAATGGATGCTGTATTTTATAGCAGCCATGTCCACGGTGGCCAAACTGTGGAAGGAGCCTCGGTGTCCATCGAAAGATGAATGGATAAAGAAGATGTGGTCTATGTATACAATGGAATATTACTCAGCCATTAGAAATGACAAATACCCACCATTTGCTTTGACATGGATGGAACTGGAGGGTATTATGCTGAGTGAAGTAAGTCACTCGGAGAAGGACAAACATTATATGCTCTCATTCATTTGGGGAATATAAACAATAGTGAAAGGGAATATAAGGGAAGGGAGAAGAAATGTGTGGGAAATACCAGAAAGGGAGACAGAACATAAAGACTCCTAACTCTGGGAAACGAACTAGGGGTGGTGGAAGGGGAGGAGGGCGGCGGGTGGGGGTGAATGGGTGACGGGCACTGAGGGTTATTCTGTATGTTGGTAAATTGAACACCAATAAAAAATAAATTTATCTAAAAAATAATTTTCCAAAAGAAACCAAAGCAATTCATGAAAAAAACAAGTCTTTTCAACAAATGGAGCTGAAATAATGAATAAACACCAAAAAATATGAGCCTTGACTCCTATTTTACACTAATGCAAAATTATTAATTTGGGGTAGGACCTGTACGTAAGCATAAAGCCATCAAGACCCTAAAGGAAAACACAGTGAAGCAACAAAGGAAGAGGCGTCTGCGAGGGAGCCGCAGCCTGGCTGCCTACACGCCCCGCGCCCGCCGCAGGCCCAGAACCTTCCAGGAGCCCGCACGCCCTCGGGCCGGCCGCTGCCGCCCTCCGCGCAGGCGCCACCCCAGGCGACCCTGGGCTACGCGTCACCCCTGGTGGCGGCCCCGCTGGCGGCCTGGGAGAAGCAGCCGGGCGCCCGACGTCGCGGGCAGCAAGGGCGGCTGCAGCGGCAGCGCGGAAGCAGGCGCGCGGCTTCCCGGGGGCCGCAGCCTCGGGGCGCAGCTCCTCAGCCGGTCGCGTCAAAGGCGCCTGGGGCGGGGCCCGGAGACTGCCCGGCTTCCGGGTCCTGTCGGCGCAGCCGCCGCCACCGAGCCGGAGAGCCCCGCCCCTCGGCGGAGAGCCGCTGCCACGTCAGACCTGAGGCGCACGCGCTCGAGCTGCCCGCCCGCCGCGCGGACCACGTGGGGCCCCGGCGCGAGGGGGCGCTGGGCGCGCGCACAGGCTCGAGGGGCCGGACGGGTGCGGTGCCTCACGCCTCAGCCTGGCCTCCCGGGCCCACGGCCGCCCGCGAGTGACTGCGGGCAGAGGCCCGGTCGGCAGCACGTGGTGGGCCCCGTGACCGGGAGAGGCGCGGACCAGGTAGGGCCGCGGCGGGCGGCACAGCCGGCGCGGGCTCTGGGGCGTCCCTGGCGGCGGCGGAGTCAGGGCTGGGGATACCGGCCCGGGGCGCGGACGCCGCCGGCTAGGCGGTCCCGGACGGGGGACGGGGGCGGGGGGGAACCACTAACACAGGGCCTTTGTGCGACCCTAGGATAAAGATTTCTTAGGCCACCAAAAACAGGAACCCTAAAAAAAAGGACACTTGGACTTCACCATATTAAAATATCTTTTTTTTTTTTTAAAGAAACAACCCAATACAAATTGAGCAAAAACTCAAACACAGAAGAACGTGAACATGTTTATAAGCATAAGGAAAGAGGCTCCGGATCACTAGCTACCTTGCGGACGTCGAGGTGGCACTACCCGGCCACCAGAAGGGCGGGAGACCGAAGCAAAAACTCGGCCTTGACAGCAGAAGTTGACAGGCTGCAGAGAGCAGATGGAACCCTCATACATGGCTGGCCAGGGCATGGACTAACACAACCACTTGGAAATTTTGGCAACTAGCAAAAAAAGTTACCTATCTACCCCGTGTCCCAGAAATTCCGCTCTTGGTATGTTTCTTCAAAAAAAGAGGCACATCTCTGAGAAGACTTGTAGAAGAATGGTCATAGCGGCTTTATTCATAATGGCCCCAAATTACAGAACACCTCAGTGAACATCAAGTGAATAGGCCTCAGGTGGAATTCTACTCAGCAGTGAAAAATAATTCACCGCTACCACAACGTAGCTGAATCTCAGAAACGTCCTGCCACATGTAAGAAACCAGGCCAAAAAAAAAAAAAAAAAAAAGTCCATCTTTGATGCAATTTATAAAAAATATTAGATCAGGCAAGACTAAGCTATATCGTTAGAACAGAAACCGACTCGAGTGAGTGAATTGAATGCAAAGACTGGAGAGGAAAGTTTCTGGAAATGTTTTAGTCCTCACAGCATAGTGGCTATGCAGATGTGTACCTGTGGCAAAATTCACTGGTACAAGATGGGTGCATCTTATTATATTTCAATTAGACTCCTAAACATTGTATGTAAAAGAGTTAAATTACTAAAATCTGTTACTTGTGCCTTGTTCTCTGTCTTGCAACATAAATGGAGTCAATGGCTTGAGAAGAATAGGATGCCAACCCCCCGAAATGGACAGATGTTTTGAGATAGAAGAGGACAGTGTCTCCTGATCATTCACACACTACACTTCTACCACAGTGCTTCAGCAGACACTGTCATTCAGCAGCTCAGCTCCACAATCACTCCCATTTGCTGTGTTTATTATCTATCTCCCCAGAAAGGCAAATCTCTGCTGAGAATGGTTTCCCTGATGTCAGAAAAACCAGAGATGAGGCCTGCAACATATACCAATCTCTTATCTTCTATTAGCCCCCTTTTAAAAAAAGATTTTATTTATTCATGAGAGACACACAGAAAGAGACAGAGACATAGGCAGAGGGAGGAACCTCCCCTGCGGGGAGCCTGATCTGGGACTCGATCCCAGGACTCCGGGATCACAACCTGAGCCAAAGGCAGACTCTCAACCCCTGAGCCACCTAGGTGCCCCTCTTAGCCCATTTTCTTTCGTCTACATGTTATGAGTTAGCCCTTGTGATGCTAGATTCTTGCTGCTGTCGTAATTCTGGGTGGCTATAAGGATGCTCCAGGGATTTCTGTGCCAATTCTGAATTCAATGACAAGTTGGAAAATAATTCTTTAAATGAGTAGATAAGTATACAAATAATAACATCCTTCCAAACCCAAGAATATTAGGTTGCAAATTTTTAATACTAGGCTTGATCTTTTACTGGCAATGACCTAATTCCAGAAAATATATCCTCTCTAAACTTTCTGCAACCAACTAACAACTACAAAAGACAGTCTAAATCATGATGATTTTCTTTTTCTTTTTTTAAGATTTTATTTATTTATACATGAGAGACACAGAAAGAGAGAAAGAGAGGCAGAGACATAGGCAGAGGGAGAAAGAGGCTCCCTCCGGGACTCGATCCTCGGACTCCAGAATCACAACCTGAGCCAAAGGCAGACACTCAACCACTGAGCCACCCAGGCGTCCCAATCATGATGATTTTCAAGTTGTAAGTTTTGATTATTAATATTCTCTAGAGATAACAGTGTTTCTACAAACTTCCACCTTTTTTACACCTCATTAATTTTTGGTCAAAAACACTTTTCCACATAAAAAAAGTCCATTGTTATTTTAAAGGTCAATCATTGATCATTTATGACAAATACAGTGATCATCAGCTGTTTGCACACAAACAATGGACCAAGTAGAATGAATTCAAGGATAGAAATCAGGCAACCTAAATCCTCGTGTTGGCTGCACCATGCAGTAAAGTAATGATTTAGGGCCAAGTTATAACCCATTTGAATCTCAGATTCTACAAATGTAACATGAAAGAATTGGACTAAATGCTCTCAGAGTCCTCCCCCTTCACCTACTAAAAATCCTTAGTGACCATGTAAACCCTGGAAAGGGTTTTTTTTTTTTTTTCATTTCAACTCTTAGAGGTAGTCTTCCAAGTGCTTGGGTGATGTGGGCAGGAGAGGAACACAGGGGTGGCAGGCGGCAGAGAAGTGCTGTGTTGTTCCTGGCCCTGCTGGCTTATCACCACTGTCACTCTGTGACAGGAGGGGACTGTTTGCCCACTTGTTGTATTCCCACAGTTTAAACCAGTGCCTGGCACCACATACTCAATACACTTCTGAGTGAACTGTAGTTCATTAAATATTTATTTAAATAGGGCATGAACCTAGTCAGTGAGGGGGCAGGCACCATATCTCTCCTGTTCACTCCTGTACCTTGGTGCCTGGAATATGCATGGTGTATAGCAGGTACTCAGTTAACATGAGTGGGGAAAATAAATGAAAATATTATCATTCTTACAGAAGTGTTAGCCAGGGGGCAAGAGTTAGAAATGCCAGAATCTTCCTGGAATGGTTTTAATTTGCAGGTCAAGGACAATTCCAACTATACCTAGTTTCTTGAATAGTCTTGGAGAACTTCTTATAATTTCTCCTTTGGTGGAATCCCTGGTGGGCATATCTGAGATCAGAAAGGCAGGGGCAGTGGTGGATATGGCGCATAAACATAAGGAGCACCAAAAACTCTCCACACGCTCCACAATGAACATGACTTGATCTTTGCTTAACATGTATGTTGGGCCCAGTGATACAAAAGTTAGCACGTAGAAGCCAGCAAGGGAAGAGTGAGGATTATTCTCCCAAGTGTGGGACAGAACTAGAGAGACTAAATGAGTGGCACCTTTCTTCCTGATGGAAGTAAACTCCTCTTGGAATCTTTGCCATTGGTTTCTACCTAATAACTTTTGCTTTCCAAGGTCCTGGCACCCTTCCTTTAAGAAGGACTATATCCTGGGAAAACACAAGAGCAAATGGCATTTCTAGCCCTGGGGTTCTAGTCTTAGCTGCACTAAGATAAACTCAAATTCTTCAGAAAACCAGTTAATATTCTGAGCCTTGGTCTTCTGATCAAATGAAGGAGTATGTACGCAAGCTCATAGAACAAATAGTATAAAAGAACAATTAGGCAGTTGTAGCATTATGGCTACAGGCTAAAAAAAAAAAAGTAAGATTCAACTATATGCTGCCTATGAGAAACCCACCAGAAATACTGACATATTTAAAAGGGTTGGAAGTTAAAAGTAGACTCAAAGTAAAAGAAAGAAAAAAGCAAACCTTAGCAAAAGCAGAAATTTATGGGAGGTCCAGTATAGCCTCACAAAAGACAGTCATGAGCCTGGCCTCAGGGAACAGCAAATCCAGGCACTCAGGAGCCCCTGTGGACTAGTGGACTATTTCTACCTTCCTTTCTTGTGCTGTTCTCTCTACCTATAGCTGTTATTAGAGCTGTCTTTCTCCAATAGTCAAGGAACACGGATGTTGGCAACTCTCACTTCCCACAAAATTTATTGTAGGCTTGTTATATGCCAAGCACATTTCTAAACATTTTAGATGTACTAATTAAACTTCACAACAACTCTATCAGGTAAATACTTTATTATCCTTATAGACCGGCAAACTGAAGGCTAGAAAGGTTAAGCAATTCACCCAAGGTTACACAGATAAAAGTAGTGAAAAGTAGTGAAGATTCCTAGCTTCATCCCCAGAGAGACACTAAATTTCTTTCTCCGGCTCCAGTTTGGAAAACCTTGGAACAGGACTCTGCCCTGGAGTGGGTCATGCACTCTTAGCCCTCTTATCTTCTTTCCCACTAAATCAACGTGCTTGGAGCAAAAGAAGGAGAATTTTCCAGAAGAAAAAAGAGAACTGACTTACAAATCAGCACCTGACCATCACAGGGTTCTTTCAAAGTGAACCAATCAAAGAGATCTTTTGAGATGTGCAGGTTCAGAAGGGTGACATCTGTCTGCTTGTAACTTGCTTCTTTTCAACAGTAAGATTCATTATGTTTAAGGGATTCAACCTTTATATATGTGAGAAGGAAAATATAGAGATAAAGATAGATAGATAAGGGAACCCTGGGTGGTGCAGCGGTTTAGCGCCTGCCTTTGGCCCAGGGCACGATCCTGGAGACCTAGGATCGAATCCCACGTCGGGCTCCCGGTGCATGGAGCCTGCTTCTCCCTCTGCCTATGTCTCTGCCTCTCTCTCTCTCTCTCTCTCTCTCTCTCTCTCTCTCTCTGTGACTATCATGAATAAATAAAAATTTAAAAAAAAGATAGATAGATAATATATGTTAACTAAACTTACAAAAAAGAAAAACTCTTTGCTTCATACCATGCTAGATTAAGCCACTTTGAAGAAACTGGGATTTTCCTGTTTGTGAATTGGCCATCATCTAATAGTCCAGTGGCATTTCATTGTATTGTCAAGATATGTTTGTGTATCAATTCCCAGCTGACAGAGACACTTACTGCTTACTTCAGTTCAGGGAAAGGTAAGAGTTATGTTAATAGCCTGTTAGGAAAAGATAAGATAGATGTTGATTACCTGTTAGAGAAGTTACAGAGTTGTTTTTTTTTTTAACTTGTATCTAGTTTAGCGATCTCATTTATGCATTCTTTTCTCAAGTGAGCATATATATCCCTATTTCTCTTCCTGTTGGCCCACCCATTGGTTAGTTAAATCAAACAGGCTTTCTATCAAACCTGTTCTTTTGAACGTTGCCTTCACATATGGGAGGCAGATATAATTTTGATCTAGATAAAAACTGTGACAGTGGCCAAATGACATTCCTTGACACTCCCTTCCCTCTTCTGATGGAGGAAATACTGCTAAGTACAGGAATGGACATTTGCCACCACAGCCATTTCTCCCTTGAATGGAGGGCTGCCTGTGGCTGGGAAGCCATGGAGCAGGTGTCAAGGGACAAGAGGAAGGGGTCACCCAGCCATAGAGGGGGAGCACATAGAGAGCTTGCAGGCAGTTGACAGATATTTTGATATATGATCTGAGAGCATTTTCCATTCTTGGCACTTTTGCAGCCCTGAGGCTGTCCACACATTGAGACCGAGACAGCCTCCTCTGCTTCAGGGGGAAGGACAAGATCCAAACAAGAACAAAGGAATGAATGGTCACCTTGTGCCTTCGAAAAATGCCGTTGAAGCCCTTTTCAGAGACAACAGTTGCAAAAAGGTAAAGCTAAACTTTTCTAGGTGAAAAGGGGATCTGCAAATCTAGTGAGGCCAGACTTCTTGGAGTCTAGGTTTGTAAACTGAATCATAGGTAATGAAGATGAGGATAAAATACGTTAACTTCCCTTGCTCAAAGGAAGACATGCAAACCCTTCCTGGCCTGGAAAGGATGTAGAAGAGATTCAAGACCCAGTGCCTGACCCACCCTCATGTCTGTATGGGTAGGTGTGTGAATGGAGTGGAGGTTGCAGAAAATGGGTAAGGAGCAAGTGCCCCCTATTTCTTATTCAGAAGTCTTGGAAGAGAACCACCTCAGAAGGAACCCCAATCTTACCATGGGTTCAGACAGTGGCAGTAGGGTGGGTTGTGGAGAGAAAAGGCTTGATATGGCATGCACCCTAGACCCTGTGCCCTGCCATACGGGAGATGCAGATATTCCTGCATGCCCAGTGGGGATCACAGATCAGGAGAGGGGCTAGGCATTAGAAGGTACCTGGGGCTGGTAAGAAGACGTTGCAAGATATGGCAGTGACAGGGACCTGAGCAGCAGGTGCTGGCATCTCACTGAGGCCAGGTGGGACTGGGGAGGTCCGTGGCACACGCAGTAGGAATAGAGACCCCCCCCCCTTGCAAAGATCAAGCATTGAAGTCTAGGCAGTGGGGCCAGTAGGACCCAGGTGAACACACACAAACCGGGCGCCCCTTCATGTAGACACCATCCTGGGAGACTGGGGCAGAACAGAAATTGCAGAGAATCTGAACTTGAGTTTGATAGAGTTTAAAGCCTGGATGAACTGAAAACCCTGGTGATCTAACCTGAAAGATCTCCTTGAACAAGCAGAATTAAGTGGGGCCTTCAGACCTAAGTACACTTCGTTTTCAGAAAATAAAGTTCTTGTCTATGTGTGTGATAATCCACATAGTAATTCTCTAGCAGAATCACGAGATGTGGGAGACTCTGGTCCCAGGTTCTTATCAACACTAGATCTAAGTGTACAGACACCCTGAGACATCTTCTAACTTTCATGACAGCAGCCAAGGGCAAACTCTCTTATTTAAAAGCCTCACTGTATTAAAAAAAAAAAAAAGCTTATTTAGTACTAGAGATCTCTATTCACCCTTTAAACAGGTTTTTGCTTATTGCAGCCATGAGGCACACCATTAGCCCTCAGAGCTCTCGTTCTTTGAAAATGAAGGTAATAGATTTTAAAATATTTTTCTCATATAATGGAGTGTGACTATTTTTCATTCTGTGATTTTTGAGTTCTAGACTTTCTCTTAACCTCTAAGGAGAGGGGCAAGTTCTCCAACCACAGGCTAGAACGTGAGGAGTGGAAGGGAAGCTGGAAGTAAGCTGGAGACAGGGCTCGGCAGGATAAGTGTCTCTAACATTGCTTTCTTACTTACCTTGTGGGTTTAGAAGGAGAAGTAAGGGAGGTGTTCCCCCTCTGCATCTGATGATGTAAGACTAGGCCAGTTTTGAGGTGCCTGGGTGGCTCACTTGGTGAAGCATCCAACTCTTGGTTTCAGCTCCAGTCATGGTGTTGGGGTTGTGAGATCATGCCCCATACTGGGCTCCACGCTCAGTGTGAAGCCTGCTGGAGATTCTCTGTCTCCCTCCCACTCAGCTCCCCCCCCCACTAGCTTGTTTTCTTTAAAATAAATAAAAATAAAATCTTAAAAAGAGAGAGAGAAAAAAAAGACTGGACCAGTTTTATCCTTTGGAGTGAGGAGTCACTCATATTGGTGTCTCCCTCACAGCACAGCCTTCCCTGGCACCTCTGAGGCCAGCTGAGTGCCCTTCCTCCCTCTGTGGCTTCCTGTTACTGGGCCATATTACCTTGTTTGTGTCTGCTCTTGCAGTGGGCACAGTAATGTCTGGTCTAATAACCTTTGGTAATAATACTGGTCCACAAAGTACTGTAAAGCTTAATAAATGAGAACGGTATGGAGGAAGGGAATGAAGGAATGGAAGGAGGGAAAGAGGGAGGAAGAAAGGAAGAGAAAGAGGACAGAAAGGAGGAGAACATAAGAAGAGGACAATCATAAAAGACAAATAAGAGATTACAAGAGGAGATAGAAAAGTTGCAATGGGAGCTCCAGGGCACTTTGCCAGGCTGATCCTGAGACTTGGTTCTGGCCTGACATCTACTTGGAATCCTCTTCCCCGGGGGAAGCCAGGACCTCTCTGCACTAACCTTGCTAAAATTCTCTTTTGCTCCGTGCTTTGCCAGAATTGAATGGGATGGCATCCATTTTTTTTTCAGTTGGTCCCCCTGAATGGCATTTCCCATAGCGGAGTTATTCTGGGTCCCGTGGGCAGCAAAATCAATGTGTGTCCGATCTGTATGACCTTGCATGTGAAGGTGAGCTTTTTTTTAGGTGGTGCTAATACAAAGGGAGAATGAGCCTTAGATAGTTTGGCATGCTAAATATAGAGTGGCACTTTTAAAAATGCAATCTTGGCTGCTCTGAGTGTCTGAAAAGACCTGCCAATCACTGCCAAGGGCAAAGGATCATCTTTTCTGGACACATGAGGATTTAAGGACCTGTTTGGAATCAAAACAGATCATTAGTAACATATGCATGGAGAATGACCACAGCTAATTATGTACATGTTGCCTCTACACATAAGTGCCCTGCAGGCCACCATATAACCCTGAAAGCAGGCTGGAGTGGCTAACCTGGCTTTATGGACAAAGTGAACCTGGGAGCCCATGTCATGGTGTCACTATGAGTATCAAGGCATCTCAAGGGAAGAGGGTGTCACTATAGGAAGAGAAACGACCTCACAAAATAGGGATGCTGTCACAAAATGATGGGTCATTGCAAAGAAAGGGCAGATCATTCTTAATGATACCCAGTTCCCTGTAAGCTGGAAAGCAGATTTTCTGGGCAGAGCTGCTCTGGACCATTACATATCACTCCTCGCGGTCCCTTTAGATAGCGGCAAAAACTGGAAATAGACAGTTACTTCTCTTCAGTTTAAGTTTTCGTCTTGTAGCCTATCTCATGGCTCACCCCTAAAAGCTGGGGAAAACCAGTGGCTGTAGAAGCCAAGGGGTTGAGCTGGGTATGAGGATAAAGGGAAAAACCTGATTAGGAACTGCACAGTGTTCAAGCATCTTTACCATGGTAGACAAAGCTTGCTGATCATAAACATAAAAAATGGGGGTGCCTGGGTGGCTGAGTTGGTTAAGCATCTGCCTTCGGCTCAGGTCACGACCCCAGGGTGCTGGGATGAAGCCCCACATTGGACTCCCTGCTCAGCAGGGAGTCTGCTTCTCCCTCTGCCCTTTCCCCTGCTTGTGCACTCTCTCTCTCTCTCTCTCTCTCTCTCTCTTTTTCTCTCTGTCAAATAAATAAATAAAATCCTTTTTTTAAAAAAAAGGTTAGGGGATCCCTGAGTGGCTCAGCGGTTTGGCACCTGCCTTTGGCCCAGGGCATGATCCTGGAGTCCCGGGATCGAGTCCCACGTCGGACTCCCTGTCCCTCCTCCTGTGTCTCTGCCTCTCTCTCTCTCTCTCTCTGTCTATCATAAATAAATAAATAACTCTTTAAAAAAAGGTTAAAGATGTGTGCTACACGCTCCTTCACTTGCCTCATGGGACTAAATACATTGTAACTTACAAAGAAACACAGGTAGGAAAGGCAGGGCTTAATTGCGCCTGAGCTCTGGTATCTAGAGGCCTCATTCAACCCCATGCCCATCATTGGGGAGATAAGGGGCAAGTTACTTAGCTCTATGTAATAGAAGAGACAATATTATAACACTCATTCCTAGAGTTGTTCTAAAGAGTAAGTGAATTAAGAACATGGAAAGGGTTCAGGAATTGCCCAGCACATAGTAGATAGTTGATTCACAGTGGTTGCTATGAGTTCAAGGAACTCAGAGGGATTTAAAGATGTTAGTTGTGTAGAGTCATACAGACAGAGACAAGCACACGGGGAAATGGCATTTTGAGCAGTGCCCCATGACCAGCAGACGGGGCCACTGTGCAGAAGTGCCCTGGCCTCCCCCAGGGCAGGCACTACCAGATTCTGAGGAACACCTGTGTCCTAGGCATGCATGGCAAATCGTTCCTCTGTGTGAACAGAACAGACTGTCACATGTACTGAACCATGGAACCATAACTTGCTATTAGCCAGTTCCTTCCTCCTAGAGAACATCAAGGTGCTGGTGGCAGGCAAACTAGAAGATGCAGCTTAGGGGCATCTAGATGTGTAGGGGCCTCATGACTGTCTAGAAGGGATGAGGACAGGTACTTGCCAGGTTTCTGACTGTGGACCAAATGTCCAAAATTTTGAGATTTCCTAAGCACATCCAAAATGCTTCCTTATAGCATCAGAATCCCAATGACTGGATCACAGGGGCCCTTGGGAGGTACCCTCTTATTCTGCAGATGAGCCAAGCGGAAACACAGTCTGCCAGGCAGCCAGTGCGGAAAGGATCCATGTCACATTCAAGCCGGGGGCTGGTTGATTTTGTCCTTAGCACTGTGCATTCCGGAGGGAAAATCAGATCAAAGGAGAGAGTTAATGATCCCTCCAGGCAGAGAGGCTCTTTTTGCTCTGGGAAACTGTCTGGAAAGGTAGGATAAGGAGCCTATAGAATTACAAATGCATGAACCCTAAGGACCTTCATTCACTTCACTCATCAAATACTTCTTTAGTGCTGACGATTCAAAAGGCACAGGGATAGGTACTCTTGAGGTTCAGATTTTCTTTGGCAAGATACTGAATATCTAAAACAGCCACCAATAAAGGCACAGCCAGCAGCTGGGCGGCACTGGAGCCATTCCTGTTCACTAATGGAGGAGACTGTTCTTATCCTCTAGTGATGGTATCTCTGGGGAAGGCTTTGGGGAAGTGGTCCTTTAGCACAAGGAATTTCCATTTTATAAGGTTATTTGCTTAGAAGTAAGTCTATATCCTGAAACACAGGAGGTATCCTAACCATATTGAATGAACCATCAGTGGTAGATTCGAAGTAATCCTGTT